CACTTTGACATGCTGAATTGATCCTGTCTTTAATATAAATTAGTTCCCTTTCTGTAAGGATTATAGTACATATCACGGAAATCCTAGGGGAAACTTATGGAAACGTGTTGAAAGGGAAACCCACGTTTTGCTTGGAATGAGTCAGTTATATATGTAGTCTATTGTCGTAGGTCTATAGCCTATAATGTCACAAACTATTTTAATGTTATTCATAAAGATTATATGCAAAAATCTGAGAAAGCAGATGCATAATTATAATTGCAGTTAACGATAAGCATGAAGGTAATAGGATAGAATCTGTTTTGTTAAAATATCTATTTCCCTGGCAGAATATTAATTTCTTCCAGAAGATAATGTCGCCCTTTTGTTATAAACTATAAGCATACGTAAGCTTTTATCGTTCTAAGTGCAAATATAAATTTACCTGCAGTGTTATGCTATTTGTGTTTTATATATTATAAAGAGTATTTGCTTTCAAGACTGCGTTTTACCATGAATCTTATTCTTGTATTCATGAATATTTCACTGAATGCTGAGATGCTTCCTTGTTACTCAATCGAAGGAAATGTGATGTATGACCCTTTGTAAATAAGCCGGTGAAGGTTTTTTATTTATTTTTATTGGCTACATAATACAAATAAATACATTATTGGCTTGCTGCAATACATATTCAAGTTGCTATCCATAAAACTGGTACTGGAAAACGCAATATTTAGATGTGAAACATAATCGTATTAGTGTTAAAAACACGCTGATTTAAAACCATAACCACGCTTTGATGACACACCAACAATTGAGGACTACAAATATACAACCAATTACCTCAAAATAACAACCTTTCTGATTGTGATATCACACTCTTACAGTTTCGATAACTGAATTGGAATTGTAAATTATGTACAATGTATCACAGCAACCATTTCATTTTTGTATGTAACCTAACGAATTTTCTGGTGGAAAAATCTGAAGTTTCGACATTTGTATATACCAGTTTTGCATGAACTACTTCATCAATTTCCAGTCCTCAACTATTAGCTCTCTTAATTCGTAATTTGTCTTTTGTTTTCTTGGCTGTTTTATTTCGGAATCTGTTAATACGTTAATGTTTCGGGCATTTTAATAACATTTCTCGGATCTAGGACCGGTTTCTCGCAAGGTCCCTACGTATAGGTCTATGTAGGAAAAAGCAGCACAGGTGAAAATATACATAATTTAAGTCCTCTGTAGTATTTGACCCCGCCATGCCAATGTTTAAAATGTTGCAATTCCTTACTCTCTGTGGCCAAATATAAGACTGGACGTCTTCATTTTTACTATAGGCGTTCGAAGTGGCTCCTCAAGTATTTCCGTAACATCGGTAATACGAAATTATCCCCTAGACAAGCCAGAATACATTTTAGTGTTTAAATTTTACGCGAAATTTGATCTGAAGATAAATTGAGCGACACAAATTGTTGCAACTGCGGTCGGACAGTGTGTAATATGCTTCGTCAGGCTACATGAGGCAGTGTGTCATCTGTAATGACTGCTTGCTCACCATCGTTTTGGAGTAACCACTGGGTTTTGTAGGTGGTAATGATGTGCCAGCAGGAAGTGGGACTGGTGCACCTCGGATAATTGATCCCCGGGCTCTTCCCGTCTCGGTAGCTAGCAAAATTACCCAGGCGAATAGCCCGACCGCTGTGAAGAAGCTCATATTTACACATCACAAAAGGGCGTTTGTGTCGTTTCTAGGCTATTTAATGACTGCGGCGACTTCAGAGTTTCATTATTCTCGAAGAGAGGCTGGTTATGTACGGCCCAGGCTGTCAAACATTTTTGCTAACTGCCGAAATGACAGTAAAGATAATTCCGTGGAGAGCAATACTTCATAAGTTAATAGTTTCATATCTTGGCAAGAAATTCCCCGACTTTCGTGGAACGCGAAACCGTTGTCCTATCCTAAGAATTGAGACCACAACCTTTTACATTATTTCTTTAAGGCCGATTTTAATATTATCCTCCAATCTCTTCCTAGACCCTTACTTCAGGCTGAGTTGAATCTGCTCTTATTGTTATTGTGAATGAAATTTTCATTTTACTATTGTTCCCAGGTACTGTAAATGACCTTTGTCGTATTTTCGAAGGATGCCACCTGTATATTATGGTTTTGTCCTGTATTCTGGTGAAAGTTATGAATATAGGCCTATAATCCCGATAATATTAAGCAGGCTTTTAGGTTCCCAAGGCGATGAATATAAAGATGGTTATATTATGGATTGTAACGCTGTGTAGTCTAGTAGAAATTTACCAACGTTTCGGAGGTACTTGCTGCCTCCATCGCCCTAATGTTAGAGACAGTAAGGATCTTGTACCAGACTACACGGTGCAATAAACCAGAAGACAACCGTCTTCATACTTTAATATTACCTCCTTCTACGATGATTTCTCACAAGCGTTTCTTCTGTTGAATTTTCCCGGCCAAACTTGCATATTCATTTCTCACCTCGCCCATAGCTTCAGTAAAGCATAAGCCGCAGAAACGCAGATGAAGCGATTGTGCTCAATTCGTCGAAATCTTGGAGCCAGCTCACAGGATTAGGGGCCAGATCCGGTATAAAGGGAGAAGCATGAAGAGATAGGATTTGGGGGCGGAGGGTTGAACTAAGAGCCGTGGAGCCTGTGCTATTAAAACGAATGAGGTTCTTCCATCACCCCATATTTTAAACATTTCCCTTGAGTCTGGAGGGATATGAACCATAGACCATACATTATCCCGTCTGAACCCCCTCTCCTGCATTGCTATTACCACGGACTGTTACCCTCGCGTCCGCTGTGGCCATAACGAAGCATTTTTTCGCTTCATAAAAAGGAGAATTATATTAATTCTTCGGTATTCTACAGTTATAGGCCTACCCCATGCAACAGTGGAGATAAATTGATTTGTTGAATTGTTCCCACTTGCGCTAAGGAGTTATTCCTTAGGCTGTGGTTTTTCCTTAAATGTCTTCCTGTTGACGGTGGTAGCTTTAAAATACCAGCCCATCCGCACAGCAAATCAAATAAGCAAGAAATTGAATTTTAATGAACACAAATATGTGACACACTTTTAATTATAAAAATTGTTATTGTTGGAACTTAACACTCACAAAACTGAAATTATATCTTTCACTTATGAGACCAACAGTTTCTATTGGTGGCCACGTTCAGACAGACCTACGGTGTCACAGTCCAGAAGACCACAGATGATTTCAGCCCGGGGAGAACTTCATGCCTCAGATATATTTTCTATATTCTAATATGTAAACCATCTCGACTTTTCACTGTGATCTTTTATGGCCGTGGATGTAGGTAACGCCAACCGAAGTGCCTATCCAGACGACCCCTAAGTAGGATAAGGTGTTAGGGTAGTTTCCCCAATATTCGTCTAGAATGGCTTAGGAAACAAATTTTCATTCACAAATCCCAATTTCAATCTGATTCTTCCCTCCTTCCTCCCAGCAACTAAGCTAACCTGCTCTGTGCTTTAGATATTTTGCTCCTCTGCAATTTGACGAGAGATGTCTTGTTCTACTGGGCGGCTTTAATAGCAGCCCCTGCATACAGACCGCACGTCGGGCGTCAATACACCTTTTGAGAAAAATTACAGGGACGGTAAACAAGCTCTTGTTTCTGCTTTCTTAGTTACCGTAAGTTAAAGCAGCTTAATAAATGACTGTCTGCCTACTTTTTAGCCGGAAAACTTTAAGAAAACTTTTTGGATACCAAGAAATACAAGGGAGGTTAATATTAAAACGTTTCTTTAAAAAAAATACTGCTTGAATGTGTTGACTAAGGGTCGTTACCCATCGGATAGCAACCGCTGTTCTCGTACAATCACATCATTTACCTCTCACTCATCTTCCAGCATCAAATCTTCTTACGGCTTCTTCGTGTTCCTCATAGATATTCACCCCCTCCACAGACTTTCGCCATGAAGAAGGCAACTGCATCGCTCCCGAAAGCCTAAGTTACACATGTACATTTGAGTAAGCAGATTCAAATGACGTAAAGGAAAATGTTTATTTTCATGTGCTTCTGGAAAAGTTTGTTATGAATGTATTTCTCTACGTTCTTTCTTCCATTTCTACTTAGGCACTGCAATGCATATATCTGCTTCAAAAAATGTAGGTATGGATGATTATTCTGTCCTTCTTTCACTAGTCTCTTTCTATTGAAGACTATCATGAACGGAGGGAAAAGTCTCAAGTCTTCAATTTCTTTCGATTTACTTTCTCCTTCAAGTTAGCTCTACACGAAATCTCTTTCAAATAATTTTTATCTTTTCCGCCTGAGTTCTTTCTCCTCCTGTCACAAAAATTGTTAGGCGTCGAAGAGTATTTGCATATTGGCGCTACGAGTTTCTGCATCATAAAGCCATTTAACTGCGTAGTTCGGAAGGTAAATGGCACTGTAATTATGGATGATGGATTAAAGGAGTGGAAGGACATAAATGTGCCTTGCATTAAAGTAATATCTTAAAATCTCTAGACAGGCCAAAGAAAATAACAAACAGCCGCAGTGTAATAATAATTGTCAACTTGGTGTTCAGACCGAGGTTCGAAACCGAAAGCTCTCAAACGGGAAACGAATACCACTTCAGCTTGATATTTCTTTTCCGAAGCATCTGAACGGTAAAGATTAAATTTGGGGCGATGGGAAACGGTGTGACATTGACCCCGAAAACCAGAATGACGAAAACTGAGATCAAGGTGTATTATATAGGAGGATATTATAAAATAAATATTCTATATAACATGCAGTTGGCTCAGAAAAGGTTCTATTGGTGGGGTGTTGTTGTTACGGTAGTAAATTGGTTTTTATAAAATACGTGAATGTATTGATTAGGTGAGCGACTACTAGATTCTTAAGAAAGGCTTTGCTGCGTTAAATGACTTAGTCGTTATCTAGTTGGTTTAATTCTCAATTTGATCTGAAACACGCTGAATACTTTTAACATTTTTTTGTCTTGCCTCTTGCAGTCCGAAAAATTGGTGTATCTTCAAGATGTCGCGATATAAATACACCAAGCGACTCTCAGTACGTAAGTCGCCACGTCACGTCTGTTGACGGAACACTCGAAACAAGCCGCATGGTGAAACAGGAGACTGGAAACTGGGGAAATTAGAGCCGGGAGACACGTGGCTCCATGAAGACAGAGAATGAAGGTAAGTGAGGCAGAAAATCCGAATTTTACAAGTAAAAAAGAATGATTTGTGTCTGTTCATTCGCATGTGACATGAGCGATACGAGAACCGTAACTGATAGAGCCCTGGACGGCAACGAGCAGCGGGAAATAACGCCTCGTTAGACACGGGAAACCTCCCGTCCTTTCTTGGTTCTAGGCAGCGGTATTTTTCCTATTGTCCTTCGGCACAACAGTATTGTGGTATGCTGAGGTCCATAAAGCTTCATGCATTATGTACCTCGACTTTAAATAAGGCTTCACGCTGCAGCCCCTGTTCCTGGGGAAGAGTCTTCGGTATCCACTGGATAGAAGATTGTAGATCTGTAATGGTTCTGAACATGGTGCTCTAGAAACATTTCTCAGCCTCCATGGGGCGCGACACGTAACAAGCTTATGAATGATTAAAAGAAAACTCATTTTCGTTTATCCTGTAAGACCTGTGAACCCTTTATCAGGTTAAGAATATAGATCGGATACCCCATATACTGTAAGTTTTTATACGTTT